GATTTGATAACAGTCAAAAGCCAGCCAGTTGTATTTTACTCTGATGTAGGTAGGGGAAAAAAACAACAAAAACTTTAAACATGACGTTTATGCTCAAAGCAATAATACATTTTGTAAATGTACTTATGATTCCATAGCATTTCCTTCAAATTTATTTCTCTTTTAACTGAGAAACCCTGCATACTTGGAAAGGAAAAAAAAGTACTGCATCATTTACTTGGAAAACAGTAATATACTTATGTGTAAAGAAACATGCAGGAAACAGGATGTCACATGTCTGTTCCTTACTTTTAGTTCTCAGGTAGGAAACTTCATCCTGTATTTAGTGACTCATTTAAATATGTGGTTAAGATCTGCTATAAAACATCTTTTTAAAAACCTGACTAGGTACCACCACCCTCCAGCTGAAACATGTAAATTCAACAATAGAGCTAACTTCTCAGAAGACCACCTTGACCTTTTAATGTGTGGTTTTCTTAGGAGTCTCTGTTTAGTGTCCCTGTTGTCCACTTGGCCTGCAGCCATGGCCTGTTGGCTGCTTTTCCTTTACTGACCCCTTGCCACCCCCCACCCCCCTTCCTGCTCTAATAGCTTCCTCTATCCAGGTGTTCAGAGAAACTTTAGGCATTTTTCTGTAGGTGAGACTGAGTCAGGGACTTCAAGGCTGGTGAAGTCAGGGACAACAGTGGTGTTTAATAGCAGTACCATAAAAATTTTCATGTGAGACATAAAATAGACTCCTAAGATTGGCTTTTGATTCAAGGAACACAGCAGGAGAATGGAAGATAACTGCTCTTACTTTGAATGGATTAAGGCTCGAAACATCTTTTGGAAAGGATTATGGTTGGATTTGAGGCACTTGTTTCTTATTTCCCTAAGAACACTAAAATTTTTGCTCAAGAGGTCCACATAGTGGATAATGAGGCCTTATGGAAGTTACAGCATTAAAAGTTTTTAAGAAACCTGAAGGCAGGCCTCTGGAATTTTTCTCTCTTGCTGAGTATTTAAGTTTGTCTCTCCTCTATGCTATTTGAAAATTTCTTGTGAAATACAAACACCATCCTGTGCACTCATGAGTCTCTACTGATGCTTCATCAATGGAGGCAAATGTCTAGATAGCTTTTCTCCTTGTTAATGTGTCAGTGCGTCTGCCGTGTGGTGAAGAGGAAGCTGCGCAGGTTGGAAATTGCACATATTACTGTTTTATGAGGTCAAATGAAATGACCCCGAATTGTATCTACTTTTTAACCTTTGAATGAAGACAGTATACTTTATGTATACCAAGAGGAACAATTTAAAAAAATGAATATATTACAAATTAAATTTTGGTCTCTTTCATAGACTACTAGATTTATGAAGGACTTTAGTTAAAATAGCAATGGAATTAAACGCCAATGAAAACACATTATGGGGTGCTGAAATGGGCTACATTAGAGAAATGGAATGTCCAGGAGAGATTGCGGTAAGAGAGGACATTACCCAGATATACCCAATATCGCGTGGCATGCAAACCGCCAGGAAAACCCAAACTCACATGGGAAAGGACAATCCAGAGATACCCATGCTGGGATGACATAGATGTTGGAATTATCTGACAAATACTTTAAAGCACTGATCATAAAAATGCTGCAATAAATAAGGGGGAATTCTTTTTAAAAATTAAATGTTAAATTACAGTTTACATTCAGTATTATTTAATATTAATTTCAGGTATACAGCACAGTAATTAGGCCATCATGAGAATGCTTTTAAAATGAAAGATGGAAAGTCTCGGCAAAGGCAAAGAAAACATAAAGAAGAACCTAATAGAAATTTAGAACTGAAAAAAGTACAGTAACCACAATAAAAAATAGAATGTTGATGACAGAGAAAGTGCCAGTACAGTTAATTGGATCATGGGGATGTTTACAGTCTGAACTGCAGAATGAAAAGAGATTGGGGGAGATGAATCGTGCTCAGTACCGGTGGGGAAGTTCATCTCAGTCCTGGAAGGAGAGAAGAAAGTACTGAACAGAAAAAAAGATTGAAGAAATTCTAGATAAAACATTTCTAACTTAAATCTACAGACGCAAGAAGCTCAGATTATTCCAACATTACAACCCCAAAGAAATCCACACCAAACATCTCATAATCAAACTGCTGAAAAATAAAGACAAAAATCTTGAAAGTAGTTAGAAAGGATGCATTGCTTGTAGGGGAACAATAATTTGAGTGACCATAGATTTTCCATCAGAAATCATGGAGACGGAAGAAAGTAGACACATTCACGTAACTTTTATTATAGTAGTTTATTATAGTTGTTCTATTTTATTATCGTTGCTGTTAACCTCTCATTGTGCCTTATGAGAAACTTTGTCATAGGTATGTATGTAGGGAGAAGCAGTATAGTATATAGAACTTGGTAAATCTATGGTTCAAGGCATCCACTGGACATCTTGAAACATACACCCAGCAGATAAGGGGGAACGACCACATTGGCAACTCTACACAACACCTTGACCATTTAAAAGTTCTCAGGCATGGGGATGAGGTATTAACTGAAAAATGTGGGATTATTAATTAACACTTACAGCTTTTAATACTAACGTGTGGACTTCAAGTCATGTTCCAGTTTGAATTTTCTGTTAAGTCACACTGAGCTATGTGACACTCAGATGCTGTATATAAATAAAGAGTTACTCGGTTTAAACCCGAGAATGCATGTTAAAAATAATTTCTTTGTGGGGGATGTATCCTCTTGGTTTAATTATCAAAATATTTTATCATGTGCCCCAAGTGTCCTTGTAGGAAGATTTAAAAAACTAGAAGGCAGTATGAAAACTAAAACTTCGGGGTTAATACTAGTCATCAAGTTGACAGGCAGGTATGATTTAATGTTAATTCTAAAATTTTTCTAATTTATCTTTAGGTCTTTTCAGGAGAGAGAACAAAGACTAAATTCTTTGTTAGAGTTTTAATGATTCTGGGACTTAACATGATTTTATAGTTCTCACCAGTGCTTTTGTTCTATTTTAACCTCTAAAAATTTCTAAGACGTGCTACATTAATAGAACAGAAGATTAAGAATTCTAAAGGCTCCTATTTTGTTTTGATTTCATCATTAACCTCAAGGAAGATATTAAAGACTTTGCTTTGAGAAACAATAAAGATTAATCATGTTATGTTTGGAGAGAGTTTCGTGCTTCGTAAAAAAAAGAATTTTAAATGTTTATATATATATAATTTTTCTCTCTCTATGAGTTGGGCAATAGTAGAATAACTATGGGATTGAAGAGGTTCAGTTTATCTGAACCCTGTTCCTGTAGCTACATTTTTTTTTTTTTTCATTTTGGCCTTCCAGATGTATGGCACAAGTATAGTCATTGCTATTGTCTTTTTTTTTTTGATGAAAATCTTAAGTGCATTAACATTCCCAGTTAAGATCATCAGTGTGTGTTTGTGGAATTATTAATAGAAATTCCACAGGATGCTTCAACCTAGATCTAATGGACAAGGTAAGCTACGGATGGTCCTAAGGAGGAGGTGTCCATTTTAGTTTTAAAGAAATTCAGGGATGGAAACATAGGATTATTTATTACTGAAGATGTGTATTCCATTATTACACATCACTACTGCATATTTGGTAAAACTTTGAAATTTTAAAAGAAGTGTAGTGGGACAAAGTTGATAGAGATTATTTACCCAGCTCTGAAATGTTAAGACCAAAAGGGACAGTTTGGAGTTAGAGATGGGTTATGGCTAGACAAAATGAATCTTATTATATATTCTTACTGAATGTATAGGACCATAACAACAATGCCAGTTATTCTCTGACTTATTGGGATTTATTTGCATCAGGCACGGTATATAACTTTATACATACTAACTCAATCACCATTAACATCCCATAGTGTACGGTCTTTTACTGTTATCATATAATAAAAAATTAAACATTATAATTTTATTTTGTGTGTGTGTAAGAGGCATTTGGAAATCTGTCCGTATTTTTGCCAGGACATGACAAAGTCCAAATTTATCTAAACATTTACTATAATATTCTTGATAGGTGGGAGGTAGTTAGCAATAAGAGTATTATTAACTTGTGACATTATTATTTTAAATGGTTTGTCTTTCCCAGCTTTGCTTGGAAGAATTATTAACTATCGCCAGATCAATGTTTTTTAAGGCATGTTATAGAGTTGCCCATGTAAGGAGCAGCTGGGTCCAATGTTAATCACTCTAACATTGATTTAGAATTCCTATTTACAGTTACACTATTTTTCTTCATCCATGACATACCTGCAATGTCTCCTTGACTGGCAGCCATTTAGCTATTTCTGAGTATTTCAGATCTGTCTGCTGTTGAGGAGGACTGCACATCTTTTGGGAGAGTGTATTCAGGGTTTACAAAAGTGAATATCACTATGTCATATAGCTTATGTTTTTAAATCAGATCATGTCATGTAAGCCTTCCACATTTGAAGAAAATCCATTTGGCATGTTTACTTGTGGTAATAGTTAAGCGGGTAGGAACCCAATTGTATTCAATTGAATCTAGAGAAATGCCAAGGAAAATGCTGTACTTAACCAGGACACTAGGTGGCACAGTGAGCTGCACACAGGAGATACAGCCTAAAGAGAGGATCTGCCTGGGAGATGGGATTTTATCAGAATCTGGAAGACTCCTTCTAAATGTGGAAAGATTGAATTGGCGAGTCAAACGGCTGTCACCTCCAGTTACTTCCTTTGAGATGTACCCTAAAATCTCTTATTTCTGTTGCTTATACACATCCTGGGTAGCTGCTCACAAAGTATAAAGTAGATAGATTTATTGACTTGAGGGTTAAAAGAGTCAAGGACATCTCAGTGCATAGTCCAAGTCACTCCACTTGGCCCAAAGCTAAAGCCTTCCCATTCTTGTTCCATAGCTATGAATAGCTGGTGAGCATAGGTTTCAGTATATACTAGGGCTTTGTTCCACATTGTGTTTGACACATTTCTTTTTAAATTTTGTATCTTAGAAAGAATTTCACAACAGATTTGCATAGTTATGGACGATGAAGAAGATGTAGGTCGTCTTCTTGAAGAAACGCTAAAAAATGAATTAAATGTAAGTACTCAAATACCAAGTTTAACAATGTCAAAGAGGTGAATGTATGTTCTGTTCCTTGTTTTCCCCCTTATTTTTTGAACTGATCAACTTTCTAGTTAAACTCTTATCTAAGATTAGAACTAAGGACATGGAAGAAGTAGTAATACGTGTGAGGAGGTCTATGGGAATTATTTGCAACTTTTACCAGTAAGAACTTCCATTGTATATTTTTATGATAATGTTGTTTTGTTTGAATTGTTTTGTTGCTGAACTGATTTTATTAAATTTTAATTTCCCTATTTCATTAAAATGTATCACCATCAATCAGAGCTTGGTGAACATGTAATGACTTTTTAACAATACACAGGATAAAACTGTAAAAGCAGAAGGGAAAAGTTCTCTTTTGTTAGCTAGTTTTATTCTGATGTCATAGTAGGAAAGAGACTGCCTGTACTTAGATGTCACTTTATTGCCTCATTTCTTTATCTTAAGTTGAAAATGTTAATAACATCTACATGGTAAATTTGTTGGGAGCATAAAATAAAATATATATAAAGTGCTTAGAAATGCCTCTGGCTTGTAGTGAGTTTCCGATGAATATGAACTATAATAATTAAACCTCTGAGGACGGGTTGAGAACAGACATGACAATATTAAGTAGCAGATACTATCAGTTCCCAAGCTTCAGTCCTGTACTAGATGCAGGAACTGTTAGAAATTTAGTTGCCTGGAATATGTAAAAATTTAATGCACCGTAATCTGGGATACATTCTGGAATCTGAGTTCTTAGCAAGCTCCCTCAGGTGGTTTGATGAAGCAGGCAGTGCCGAGTTCTGCCAGGAGCATCAGAGCAACAACCCAGAGCCGAGAAGAAGGTAACTGCCATCTTAGCTGTCTCTTAGCCATGAAGGCTCTACTACAGTCTCTGGTGTTGCTTTTACCCAGCGACTTTCCGGGCACTTCCCCATCATCCCTGAAAATTTTAGCATCTGTTCTCTGCTTTCTATATCAGGTGCACCTGTTAGGATTCTGTTCTGAGTTCCGGGCCCCAGTTTCACTGCAGTACCTTGCAGAGTATTTAACTGCAGGTAACGTGCCACTGCCTGACCCACTGAAGGACCCTTTTGCCTCAAAAATGGCCTTTTACTCTTGAATAATCTCACTCATTCTTTATCCAATCAATGCAAAAACCAGTAAGACAGGGCCCTGAAAGAATATGATTGGGACTCTGGCTATCAACCAATCCTAAATTTAGAGGGCTGGATTTTTTTGTTTTGTTTTTTGAGATTTTAAAATAGATTTTTAGAGCGAGGAAGGGAGAGGGAGAGAGAGAGAGAGAAACACCGATGTGAGAGTGAAACATCAATCAGCTGTCTCCTTCATTACCCCTACCAAGACTCAGGCATGTGCCCTGACCGAGAATTGAACCAGCAACCTTTCGGTGGATGGGACGATGACAATCAGACCGGCCCGGGCTAGAGAGCTGGGTTTTTAATGAACTCTTGAGCACCCAGCTGGTGGATTCCGTGTGACTAATTCCTTGATTGGTCTTTCTAATATTAGACCCTTTCTAATATTAGATTCTTTGGTTAGAATTATTATAATATTCACTTTTTATTACTGCTTCTCCTATATATTTGTAGTGACAAGATGACATGGGATTTAGGGATGCACATTGTGTCTACTGGGCTCTTGTGATTTTTTTCATCATCCTGCCTCTCAGATACTGTCCTTCTCACTTCCAGTGACAGTTTTTTCAGTGCACCTCATCCCCTACCCATGGGCCCAGTCTGGATATTGCCATCATCTTCACTGTACTGAAAAGTAAATTCTAAGACTATCTCTAAAATTCTGACCATCGTATTTTGTCGTTTCATATCTTTTACTATATTACTCCAACTGCACATATTTCAAATGTATAGGGAACGCCAGGCTCCCTATCTTTTTTCTTTCTTTCAGCTACCTTTTGTTCTCTACCATTCCTTACCGAGCTTAGACCCATGATCCATCACTTCGGTGGATCATGGATCTCTTCATTGACCTTCGAATGCACCCGCTTGGTAAAATCCCATGCGCGTATTAGTCACACTTGTCAGTTCTCTACTCTTCCTCCATCTTGGTACTGTTGGGGGAAATTATACCACAGTGAAGATTGTTGCCATTAACAACACTGGTCCCCCTTCTTTAGTGAGCACCGACTGTTTGGAAGCAACCACGATTCTATAGTTAGCTCCCCCTTCTCCTCCAGTGCCAACCAGGGTTTGTCCACCTCGGCACTGCTGGCGTTTGGGTTAGAAGATTCTTCGTTGTGAGGCTCTGGCCTGTGCTTTGGACACTGGTTAGCAGTATCCCTGGCCTCCACCACAGAGATGCCCGTATCACCCCAGCCCCTAGGTGTAGCAACCAAAAATGTTTTAGACGTTGCTAAATGTTGGCTGGAGAGGGGCAAAATGACCTTTAGATGGGAGCCACGGATGTAACCCTACCATCTTTGCCTACACTCTTAGGTATGGTCTTGCCTTCGACTTCAGAGCAGTTACACATCCCGTCTTCCTGGCACCGAACCTCTCGGGAGTCTTGCATCTGCAGCCATACTTTTAGTAAGACTGTTTCCTCTCCGGAGCTCGGCTTCCCCTCCCTCCTCTGCCCTCCCTCTATCCACCTACAACATCTTCCAGTTCCTTCCCTCAATTATAACAAAACAAACAAACAAATCAGTTTCTCTTAACCCAAGGTTACTCTGAAGCCAGACTTCTTTAGAATAACCTTCTCATTCTTCAGTCCAATGTGACCTGACTCCTACCTTAACCCCTCATAGGAATTGCCCCCAGCGAGGTCCTCAGCGGCTTCCCCGTGCACAGTCCACAAGGCAGCGGTCAGTCTTTACCTTGACCTATCGCAGGACTTGACTCTCTTGTCTAATACTTTCTTCTTGAAAACAATCTCATGCTGTGGATTTTGTTAACATCTTCCTTTTCTCATTCTTCTTTTGTGACTTTGTCTTCCTTCCCTCAGTTTCTTTTACAGGATTCTGTTCATAACTCTTAGGTTTCTTTACATAGTTGAGTGGGTTTTCTTTTTCCCCTAGAAAACCATGCTAACGGCTTCACATAGCCTGTATTTGCCAGAGACAAAATTATTGGCATTTATTAAGTATTTCTTTCTCCCTTTCACTTGATGACTCTATGATTACTATTGTTATAAAATACCATTGTCTTTTATTTATGAACCTTAATATTTTAGCTGTTTTCTATTGGTTCTCTGTTCTGGGCAACATTGATATTAACTACTTTCTTCTTTCTCCTACCTTCCCTCTTTCAGTATCTAATTTGAGTTGATATTTTTAAACTCCCAGTTAATACCTGTAAGATAATAGCAAACTTTTCTCACATTTTATATACTCTCCCACCTATATGTTATTATATACTGCAATATCTCTCTCAAAACCATTATTTATTCTTAGATCCATAAAGAAATAAATATTTAATGCTCTCATGAAGCCATTTGTTCATATTTTGCAAATCATTTTGGTTCGCTGAAACTAATCCTCCAGTGGATTTCCTTGGGAGGGCTCTGGAATAAAGTATTCCCAAGTTCTTGCATATGAACAGAATTTTTCTGTGGCTGAAAATCTACAACTTTATTTTGGCTAGATGGAAAAACATTCTGTCTTCAGAAAATTTTTGAGCATCTTAAATATACCTCTGCATTGTGTTTATCATAAAGCATTTTGATCAAATGTGATGAAAATTAGAATTTGTCTTATGAATACTTGGCCTCTTTGCCTATTTGCCTGAGGACTTTTTTTTTTTCTTTAAATTCCAATATTTTTACTAGAATTTTCTCAGTCTTGGACATTTTAGTTGATATTCCTATGTATACAATGTATGTTCTTTTTTTCATTTGTGTGATTTAACGTCTTTTATTTCATTAAACTTTCTATGGCGTTACTGTTTTTAGTGTTTCCTGTTCCATTGCTTTAGTTTTCTTTTTCAAAAATTTCTATTGCAAGAAGGTTATGTATTTTTTGTCCATCTTTATTGTGAATGCTTTCTCTTGGATTTCTTCAATGACTTTTTGATTTTAAACTTTTCATACTTTCATTTCATACTTGTATTTACCTTCAAGCATTATCTATTGTATTTATTCAATTTTCTATCTTTTCTAATTTACCCTTCATTTCTGAAACATTATTTTTCAATTTTCCATTTCTCATCAGTTTCCAATTTATTCCGATTCTGGGCCTTGTAGTTCTGTCATGTCCTTCATTTCTTTTAGCTTATGAAATGGTGGGTTTATCTGTCTGATGTGCATGTGTTGCTATAAGGACATCATTTTGCTCTTTACTCTTTTATTTTTTTTAATTTAATTTTTTTATCCTCACCCGAGGACATTTTTGCATGTATCTTCAGATAGAGCGGGAGGGAGAGAGAGAGAAACATCGATGTGAGAGAGACACATCGAGTGGTCGCCACCCACACAACCCCAACCAGAGCTGGGGACAAACTGCAGCTGAGGTACGTGCCCTTAGCGGGAACCAAACCTGGGCCTCTCTGGTCCACGGGCTGACGTCGTAACTGCTGAGCCAAACCAGCCAGGGCTACTCTTTTATTTTTTTTATATTAAATTTATGTGAGATTCTTTTTGATCCTGTCCTAGTTCTCCTTTTAAGAGATTTCTATTTATTTTTAGGAGGGAGGAGGGGTCATAGTACTCTTTCTGGCCTGGTGGCATACTCTCTTGGTTCAGTTGTTTCCAGGAGAAGATGGGCAAGATGGCCATGCCGTGCGTGCTGCACCTGCCGCCCTTCTCCTGTACCTGGATCTTCTCTCTCGCTCCTGCTGCACCTCTGTCCATCTGTTCTTCTAGGTCTGGCACTTTGATTTGAAGGGGTTTTGCTTTGTTAGATTGAATGTTCTTTGGTTCCAGTACTCCATATGTCCCAGGAAAGTGAGAACCTTTACGATGTGGTGCCTTTGTTTTCAACTTTGAATGGAACCCTACGAAGGATTCTCCAT